CGAGCGAGAGCGGAGCCTGCCCGCGGTGCGGACGAGCAGCGGCGGCTGACGGCTGCGATCCGTGTGCCGTGCAAACAACCTGCGAGCGAAACGCCGCAGCATCCGATCAACCTGCCAGCGCGCAGGAAAGGGCGCATCACAGATCTCCGTCTGCCGTGCTTTCGGAAGACAAGGCTGAAAGCTTTTAAGAATTTAATACTCTGAAAGCGGGCACGCCTCGCTTAACAATAATCCCTTATTATTTCTTTACTAGCATTTATTTTTTGCACACGTTTTTCGCCACAGCGCTGCATAAGCGTTTCCTAGGATCTCTGGGGAGCTTAAACGCTGTTTTATCGAGGAAATAAAGCAAAGCACTGTGTCCGGTCTTTGCTGTGCTGTTTCTCCCCACGGTGTGTCATTTAGCAATTTTCTCCAGTGCTTCAAGGGCTCGTAATGTTAAGTGGGCTGGTTATACCAATATCGCACTGCTGAAGTTAACGAGGCCATTGATTTGTTTGTCTGTTTGTACTCCGTGTGAGCTGAAGCGTCCCCCCCCCCCTCGTACTGTACTCCCCGGAGAGGCACTGCTGTAAACAGTGTTTTGCAACTTTATCTCTTTCCTCACTTCACCCGTTTGCCCCACCCTGATCATACGTACCTCTGTAACACAGATTGTCACCGCTCCTGTTCCACTGGAAAATGTTTTTTTATCTTTTTATATATTTTATTTTTCCTCAGTACATGATTTAATCTTTATCTGGTTGTTTAATTTAGATACCATGACTGATTGTCCTTTTTGGGATTTTGATGCGTTTTTTTATATAAAGCCATAAAGTGTTAATGAGGTAGTAAATTTTGCCAGCGTATTAATGTTTAATCGTTTTTAATAATTTCAAATAAGACAGTAGGAACTCTTTTCATTCTTTCAGACACCATGTTTTGTGGCTCTGGGGTAAATTCCATTTAATAAATTCTCTGAGTCTTATTCTAACATACTGCTACAGCTACTGAAAGATAACATTTCAGACTTCTGTAGGATCTCAGCATTAGATTACTTTGTCTACACAGTGACGATAGTGAAAATTTGCCAGACCACAACAGTGTGGTGTAATGGAAGCTGCGTGTTTTCCAGAGTATCGGGTTCCTGGCCTGTGTACGGCTCCGGTTAGGAATTCCAAGCATCCTTTGTTGGGAATGCCGCCCATTAGCATACTGACAATGTCGACATGTAGCTGGCTGCACAGTGTGAAACAAGACCCACAAACAAACCACAAGCTCCCCACAGCACACTGGACACCGCTGTAATCCCCAGGCGCTAATGACTTTCTGATGCTGTCTTTCGGTAACTGCAGTAATTTCCATATCTGATAGATAGATAGACAGATAAATAGATAGATAGATAGATAGATAGATAGATAAATACTTTATTAATCCCAAATTAAATTGGCAATTTACAATAGAACCATGACACATAATTAGGCAGCAAAAAATCCATTTTGCCATCCATTTTTGCATCCAATTTCTACAATATCAGATGATGTCCATGTTAGGAATGATGGTGACTGAAATTAATGACCGGGTTTGTGTTTCTCCCACAGGGCCGACGGATTCTGTTCCGGATCCATTGCACAGCTATCACAATCCATACTCATACCTCCTGCTGCAGTGACTGCCTCTCATCCCTACATCCTGCCACCAAGCTCCAGGACACTAAACCCTGGCAACAAAAAAAAAGGAATCGGATCCCAAAGAAAGGAGCAGAAGAGCTCAGTGAGAGTGCCAGGCAGGAGGAGCAGGCCGCGGTGCCCCTGCGTGACGGCGCTGGAGATGATCATCTCTGATATGATCTCGGGTGCATTACGTTTAGAGATGGGCAGTAATGCTAGACAATAGTAATCAGCTGGAGCCAAAGAAAAGGGGGGGGGGGGGAAAACAAGCACAGCAGCCTGTCACCCCAAGCCTTGTCCCGCCCACTCCTCCCTCAGTCCCCCTCCCCCCCCCACTGTTTACATCTGTTTACATGTCTCCTTCTCTCCAGCCCTTGCAGTCTCGCAATCTGTTTGCATGCTGCCAATAGCCTCCTCCTTATTCTCCGTCTTTCTGTTTATCCCTGCCTACAGCCCCTCACAGCCCTGTCTGTCTGTTTTCATCCTTTGTTTTTGTTTGTCCTTCTTTGTGTCCCATTCATTCATTCATTCATTCTCTTATTGATCCATTACACTCTCCCTTGCCCTACCCCCCCCCCCCCCCCCCCCTCCCTTGCCCTACCCCCCCCCCCACCACCTGTTTACTCCCTCTCTGTAGCTTTAAACCACACGAGACGGGACACGCTGCTGCTGCGGGGCCTCACATGTCTCCGTGGAAACGGGCGCAGCTCCCTGTGGAAGTGTCACGCCGTCCCATGAGCCTCTTGCACTTCCCGCTTGGCAGCAGTAACACGCCAGGCTGACGTCCGCCCTGCTCAGCTTGTTTTCATTCTCTTCTCACTCCCCACTTTCAGTTGCTTGACGTATTGCCTCCTTCCCTCCTCCGCCTGTTTTTCTTTCCACCACTCCCTCATTCTGCCTCACGCCACCACGTCCTACACCACCTCAATCCATTTTCAATCAATCCACTTCACTTCAATACAGCTCACGTCCGTTCACCGATGTTTGCTGACATGGCAAACGTGCAAACTGCACTGGCCCAACACTGCGATTGGTGTGTGGCTTGCACTGGCCCAACACTGCGATTGGTGTGTGGCTTGCACTGGCCCAACACTGCGATTGGTGTGTGGCTCGCACTGGCCCAACACTGCGATTGGTGTGTAGTTTGCATTGGCCCAGCACTGCAGTTGCTGTGTAAAGGTTCGATAATGACGACGACGTGACACAAACCTGGAAAGTGAGATTGTAGGTGTGACATGGGGAAGCCTCTTCACTGTCATGCTAGGAGTGAGCGCTGCTCTACTTGGACATGGGCTCTACCCAACTGACTCTGCCCTCTGACTCAGCCTGAACTTTCCTGGACTCCCACACATCAAAAATCTATTATACACAATTAAGCGGCACCATAATTACAGCTATGTAATTACACACAGGTGTGCTATTTTAAGCAGACTGAGGATGGATGTGAGGACTGAGGTGGAAAAAGCCGCAGATGGAGACGTGCCGCTTGTTGCCTTGTTGCCATTACCGTTATTACATAATTTCTATTGTCGCTGGCAAACAACATGCTGACTAATTATCACAAGGCAGAATTTCACTTGCAAGATAACACAAAAATGTTGACGACATCTTCTTAGAGGAGATACAGGACATATCAGGACATTTGATCACGGTGATGTGATTTTACTGTTGAATTTCTAATTAATCTCGTCATACTCAGAGCTCGTGCTGCCGGCCTGAATCCTGTCATCACACTCTCTCTTCTCCACATGCTCCAATATTCCTGTCACAGTTTGAAGGCACCTCAGTGACTCCCTGTACCCCTGATGGGGGGCCGTGATGGGCCGCCATTTCAGCCAGGCTGGACAGACTGGATCATTGCATTTTATTTAGCCTTAATGTCCTGATATTCAGATGGCCGCTACAGTAAGGATTTTGTTGTTAGTTGTTAATGCATTCAAATGACAGTGCAGTGCAGTCCGTTGCATCTGAACGACTAAGGAAGTCAAGCAGTTGAGGAAACATTTGGCCAGTGCTCAGGAGACACTGCCTGGTATTCACACATCATTAGAGATGAGATGAGGCCATTACACAGAGCGAGCCTCTTTGCTTGGCAGTGTGCTCACTGATACTCCTGTGGAATTAAACATTCATGATGCCACTTAGCATGTGCTCCAATCACATTGTCATCACTGCTCTTGTCCTGTCTGCGGTACCATTAAAAACGGTCACACCTGGAAATCGGGGGGGGG